GGGGGGGGGGATCCCTGGAACGAGTGCTGGGGACCTACAGCCCTCAGAGGGAGCTAGGCTGCGTGTGTGGCTCCGTGTGTCGCCTCTGCGCCCTGCTCAGTGCAGCAGCAGTGTGTGTGCTGGGCAGTGGGGCTCAACTGCGTGGTGGGCAAGGGGTCCCGGGAGTGGGGAGCCTGGCGCTGCCAATGGCCCGGCAGGAGCCATGGTTTCAGCAAGGTGGCCTTTCCCTGGTTCACGTAGGCAGGAGAGCTTTCAGAAGGCTCAGCACAGCGTCTTCCCTAAGGACTGGGCCACCCTACCCAGGCTGCCACTGCCCTCGGGCCCCTCCCACCCTGCTTTGGGGCCTTCCCTCCTCCTCCAGAGCTGGCCAGGCCACACTGCCGGGCCCGTCTCTGCTGGTGCGCCCGGGGACGGTGGGTGACCCTCTCACTCAACGCCCGTCTCTTTCAGGAAACAAAGTAACAAGCACTGAAGAAACTTGAAGGTGCGTGGTCTCCAAGGTCCCCAGAGGGCACTGCACCTGGGCCGGCCCTCCCAGGACAGCGCGTTCCCAGACTCCCCACTGCTTCCCAAGGGACCTGAGAAGGCCTTGCCAGTCAGTGTCCCCACTCGGCCCACCAGGCGCCCGGGACCCCTGCCTGCCTTCTGGGGGGAATCCCATGGCATTGAGGCCGCGGGAGCCTTGGTGGCTGAGCTGGGCTGGCAGCTCTGTTCCCTCCCCAAAGGCCAATGAGAGCCAAGCACCCTCCAGGATGAGCCGGCAATTCAGTCTCGGGGCCTCACACCGGCGATAATATACAAAGACCAGAGTAAAGCCATAGAAGACAGCAGAGAGAATAAGGGAGTCAGACCCATCCCATGGTGGCATGCTCACCTCCGGGACGGCCGGGGCCGCGCAGAGAGAATCTTTAGTCTCAGGGTGTTGGTAGGTAGCCATGAGACATGTGTATTCAGCAGTTCCATGGGTCACGAGGTGGGTGGTATCCACAGTAAAGTCCCTGAGCTCACCACGTGCTCACTTTAAGGCAGCACAGCTGTTAGGGGAGAATCTGTGGGATCCTCCCCTAATAAGCAGGAACTACTCTATCAGCCCCAGATGCCCACAGGATGAAGATGCAGCCAGTCATCCTCCCTATACCCGGCCCCCAGCTCACCACTGTTAGACCCTGAGGGCAGCAGCCCAAGACCCCCAGGAGCTGTGGGGAGGAGGAGTCTGGGCCCCACACGGACTCAGGTCCCACTGTTTTCTTCACAGGATCCACTGTGTCAGCCAAAAGAGCTTCTAGAACCCAGGAAGACGTGGTCTCGAGATTGGACGGAAAGGACACCCCAAGAGCAGAGTTCCTGACTGGCAGCAAAGCCCCACCTTCGCCCTCAGGCCAGTGGCCCCATGCCACACCTGGAAACCCTCAGGACCAACCTAATAACCCAGGATGGAAGCTGGCTGCAAGCCCAGGGGCTCATGGGACCACTACCCAGAAGCCTCTGACACACCGACATCACCCAACACAGACCCGGGCTGGACTTCTGACGGGGTCCTTCGCATGCCCGACCACCCGCAGGCCTGTGACAGTTCCCCAAGGACCCAGCAGCCTGGCTGAGGAGCTTCTCCCATCTGCTGGGCCTGCGGGGCGGGGAGTGCGCAGAGGCAGGCTGCCAGGAATGCCGCAGGTGGTGAGCACGGGTCTGCTCCTGGCCACTCTGGAAAGGGCGGGGCGTCTTCTCCCTGGGCCTGGCTGGGCTGCAACAAAGCCTGATTCTGACGAGCAGGCAGCAGCAGGGCAGCCCCAGGGCCGCCACTGTGAACCTGGGCCTGCAGGCTCCAGCACTGCGGTGACCAGTGGGAAGTCCCGGCCCCTAGGCCTGTCCTCACATGCAGAGGACCACGGATGCCCACCAGCAATAGGCCAGGTGTGGGGATACTCGAGACTCAGCCCCAGCAAGTCAGCCTTCAGCAGCTGTGCCCTTGGACAGCTCAGCTCTCCTAGAGGAGACCCCACTGAGGACCCCAACAAAGAGCCCAGCCTGGAAGCAGAGCCCCATCTGCATGCAGGCGTGCTGCTGGGCCACAAGGACCCTGGCTGAGTAGCCCGATGAGGGGCCCAAACTGGAAGCCCACGTCTGCAGCCTCGGGCAGTGCCCCTCCCTCCACCTCTCATCAAAGACATTTTGTGAAGAACTAGAGTTTATTTTAGGCTTTTGGTTTGTATTAAATTTGTGTGTGCCTGTGCATGTGTGCATGTGTGTGCACGCGCCTATGTGTGCATGCCGTGCAGCTTGTCACTCTGAACCGTCTCTACTGTGACGTAGACATTCCCAGATGACAGAGGGCCTTTTGCTGTCGGGTCCCAGGCTGGATGTGACGATGCCACGTGGGCAGAGCATTCTGGCTGAGCTCAGCCGGCAGCCTGTGTCCCGTGTACCACAGGGAGTGGCGTGTAAGGCTCCACAGCCTCTCTGGACCTCGACCTGGCTGAAGTTTCTAGTTTAGAAACTTCTACAAGAGCCCCCATAGGCTGGGCTGGGCGGTGTTGGCCAAAGAGGTGTCGCCCAGCAGGCCCACCCTGGTCCTGACCCACCCAGCCCGGCCACCGCCACTGCCCATCTCTGCAGTGACATGAGCAGGCAGGAGCTGACAGCGAGTCAGGCGGGCCAGCGGCAAGGAGGCCCAAGGAGAAGGCTGGTGACCAGGCCCCGTCCTAGTCCTACGCAGTTCCAGTGCAGGACTGCAAACCACTCAGCGGGTCAGCACTGGTGGGTGGCGCCCCTGGGTGCCCACCCTCCAGCCTCGCCATCACCAAACCCCTGGAGGAGAGACGGACGGGGACCGGGCTCCAGAGACGGGATGCGACAGCCCAGCACCAACCGGCAGTCTCTGTGCCGCACCCCCAGCCCTAGGATCGAGAATCATCCAAGACTCAGTCCTCACCACGGGCTTCTCTGGGTGTCCTGGGGTGCAGACCCTGGGCAGGCCTAGATGATGACCTGCCCCTCTACACGACATCACCCCAGTGAGGTGTTGATGTTGGTGTTGAATGAAGCGTGTGAGTTCTGGTGGGAACCTGCTGCTTGTTCTCCAACGAAACGTGTGACGGGTGTGCTGACAGTGACGGACACCTCTCGAGGCCCACCGGCCTCATCTTCGAGTCAGAAGGGCGCACCGCACCCACTCCAACATGCCTCAGTCTGCAAACAAGGGTGGGGTCTGGCCCACGGGGCCACCTGAGCATCCCCCGCAGCCAGCCGCTGGCCCAGAACCAACCAGGGTGGTCCCTGCAGACCCCACAGAAGAGCCTCTTCCTCCTCCTCCGGTGGACGCATCTACTTCCTGGGGAACAAGTCCTCACCGTTCCACCCAAAAGACAGTTGAGGGCGGAAGGTCATCATCGTCAAACGTGGCACTCAGGGCCACTGCCTTCGTCATCACTGTCCCCATCACTGATCCCAACATCCTCATCGTCGTCAGCCGTCTTGCACTCAGACTCCCTCTCCTCCTCCTCCCGAGCTAACAGCTGCTTAAAAACCTCGAACTCTTGGGCAGATGAGCAGGCTGTCCTGGCCAGAAACTCGGCTTCAGAGGCTTGGAAGATGTCCCTGAGTCGAGGGTTGTGGATCTGCGTCTGGCCCTTCTTGTCGGGCCTCTGGTACCGGCCCAGGCGCTCCAGGTAGACATGCCGCTGCTTCATCTTGGTGATGGAGAACTGTAGGAGCTCGGTGCGCACCATGTCCGAGTGCTTGACCCCCATCCTGAAGTAGGCATACTGGGAGAGATGTACATGCTCAGCCCCTGGCTGTGCAGCCTGACTGCCAGCACCCACAGCGCTCAGAAATAAAGGGGCACCCAGTGGCAGGGGGCAGGGCTGGGCAGCTGGGAAACTCCAGACAACAACCAGGACTTGGCTCTAGCTGTCTCAACAGTTTAAAACAAGACAACTTGGGCAGGTCTCAAAGCCAGCGTGAGAGCTAGGTTTTGGATAGGAAGGGGGCTGCTCTCTGCTGGGCACCCCCCCAGCCCCGGCTCTGGAGGACATGGCCCACCTGCCCTGGTCAGCCCGGACCCCTCACCTGGAACTTGTACTCCAATTCCTCGGGGTCACCCCGGAGGACGTGGGGGCACCTGTAGAGAATCTCCGTCACCTGCTGCGTGGTGAAAAGACACTTCTCCCGGAGGACCCTGATGATGCCGTCGAGGCCCCGCTGAGCCAGGGTGAACACCTCAGGGGAGCAGTGCAGCACCCGCCTCAGCCTCCCTGCAGGGCAGTGGGGCAGAAAGGGCACCAGTCACGCCAGGGCCCACCCCTCCAGCTGACAGCTACACAAACTTTGAGGCCAGCACGTGCCCCTTAAAGTATGTGGCAATGGGGGGGGACCCCCACGCAGGTCACTGCTGCCCTGCAGTCTGGAGAACCAGCCTCCCTTTCTAGGCCTCACCCCTCTGGCCTGTCCACATGTTCATGGCGTCCAGGCAAGAACGGGGAGTCTACACCGGAAGATGCAGCAGAGCTGCCTGGGGTCTGAGCTCCAGGCTGGCGTTTCCCGTTGGGGGCCACCAAGCATGACCAACAGACCGACTGACCAACTGACGCTTTCAGCATAGAAACAGTAATAGCAAGGAAACTACCCCAGTGCACAACCACAGCTCCGAGCTTGGCCAAGGAATGGGACCACTGGGCACTCTCTCTTCCAAACTGGGAACTCCTGTATAAAGAAGGCCCGGTTAGTACCTGCTCTGGTGTGAATGGTGTGCACCGGGCAACCCGGGCCACCTGAGGCACAGGATCTGTGTACAATTTAGGCCTTGGAAACTTAAGTTTACTTACCCAAAGTGTTACAAAAAAGCCCAATAGGAGCTAATGGATCATGCCAGCATCGGTTTCTACCACCTGGAGACCACAAGAACCAGAGGGTGCCCGGCTGCCACCACCAACCGCCCCTAAAAAGATCCCGTTAGAAGGTCCTGGGCAGGGTGGGAGAAGAATGTGGCACAAAACTAACAATCATAAGAAAGGCCAGGCGTATGGCTGAGCAGAACCGGTGAGGCCCTCAGTCCCCCATCAGGTCTGGAACCAAGCTCCCTTTTCTGCCGAACGACAGACAGGTCCATAGGAGCGGGGCACACTAGTGAAGTGTGCACACCCTAGAGCCATCACGCTCGGGCTAAGTGCTGCCCCTCCCCCACGGACAGCGCAGACATGTCCGGAAAGGATGGGGCTAAGTGGCTGTCCATTGTGGGGATGTCGATCGGTGACAGAATGTGTGAACTGCTGGATGGAAAACTGATCTGCTCTGTAGACCTTCATCCAACCCCTGGTAAACATTTAAAAAGAAACACTGCGCTGAACACGTCAGGAAGTAAGTGGAAAAATAACTCCCTGACATGAGTTAGCCGCCGCCGTCCTGCGAAGACGTGTAGGGAATGCATTTCAAGATTGTCTGTTTTACCGTCCATCTCACTGCCCGCGGCACTGAGCCCACTTAAGCTGCCTCCTTTCTGCTACTTGGCAAGAGGCCACCTGCTCGGAGCAGCATGAGAGGGCTTCCGAGAGGGGTGGGGAGAGCTCATGCTCCCACATTTTCCCCTCACACGTCTGGAAGCTCAGCCTCAGATACAAGGCAGCGTTTGCTTATGCTCTGAGCAAAGACCTGGAGAGAGACTTCTGAAAGAGGGGTCCCTGGTCCCCCTGCCCAGCATCTTACCAGGAAGAGTGAAGAATGGTAAGACAGTAGCTGAGCCACTCTAGTCCAAGGGCCTCCTGAGAGACCCATGAATAACAGCAACCTTCAGCAGAGGCCCTTGAGGCTGGAGCTGTTGGGGAGTGGGCTGGGGGGTGGGGGCTCTCGCAAGCAGGTCAGACCCGTGGCTGGGCCTGCATCTGTACAGGGGGCACATCCTGGGGCTCTGTGTCACATGTAGACAAGCCCCACAGTCACTTCGGGTGACACCTCTGAGGTTACACATACACAGCTGCATCACGCATCCACAGCACCTGCCCCCATCCCACCCCCACCCATGCGCTCTGGGGCGCTCCATGCTACAGATGCTGCCCTGTTGCCCCACTATGCCGCTTCCCTCCTGCAAGGCCTTTTACCACTGCCCTCCCCTCACCCAGCACACCCTACGCCACTGTCCCCCCAAGTCTGGTGCCTCCTCATACCTTCACCCAGGCCGAGCTTCCGCAGGTAACTGGCACGCTGCTTCACCTGCCTGGCCGGCAGCTTCAGTAGCTGAGGGTGGGTCTTCAGGGCGCTGCAGACCGCCTCCGGAGCCACGCCCAGGAGTATTAACTCCGACGTGATGTTCTGCAGCTGTTGAGGCCTGGGGCCTGGCTGGATGCTGAGCAGCTCCCCAATGTGGGCATGACTGAACCCCATGTCCAGGAGGGACCTGGTGACCGCCTGCAGCTCCAAGGCCACTGCGTCCACGGGCGTCCCAGGCGCCTCGGCAAGGCGAGGCATGCCCACCGGCAGGCACCCTGCCCCCTGCGAGAACGTTCGGGAAGGAACACAAGTCAATTTTTCCAGGCTTCTGCAGTCAGAGGCTGTGGTCAGAGGACGCCACAAAGACACCGATGTCACCCTTCTGGGTTCTCCAAGGCGGGCCGTCTGCCTCCCCATGTGGGCAGGGGCTCGGAGCACCACGCAGCGCCAGCACCAGACCTAGGAGCACAGGGTGGGAAGGGAGAGTCCCAGTGTAAGAGGCGCAAGCGCTGCTTCAGTGCGTCAGTCGGACCCAAACAACAGCTTTTGCGCGCAATCTGCAAAATCACACCTGGCCTGAACACACCGAGAACGGGGGGTGGGGGTGGGGGTACACGTGTGGAAACGGGGCGTTAGAGATAATCCAGGAAGCGGCCGGCTCCTCTCCGGGCTTTCACTAGAGCTCCGGCTGCGGGGCCTGAGGTCACTGCTGGGCTACTCGGCACGTCTGCCTGAGAAGTGCGAACCGGACTCGTCTCCCAGTCGCTCCGAAATGCACCCGGGAAAGACCCAGTGGCCCCGGCACACGCCGTCCCCCTGGACGGCGGGCTCCTCTGGGCTCTGAGCTGAGGCAAGCAGTGCGCCGGGCGCCCTCGGTCCCCGCTCGACTCGTGTCCTCGATTTTGCGGGGGGCGGAGAGGACGGCCCCCGAGTTCACCGGCGGCTTCCGCCTCGAGTGCGGCTCCAGATCGGCGAGACCGGCCTGCGACAAGGCTCGGCCGGCAGGGCCCAGCGTGGCCGCGAAGCACCCCGAATGCCCGCCGGCAGCGCCCAAGGGAGCCCTCACCTGCCGGCACAGCGCGGCCATGGCTGCCATCCGGAGCCGGAAGCCGCCTGTCTCCCGGGCCCGTCACTTCCGCCTCCGGTCCGTGGCATCGCCCTCCCCGGCGCTCGTGCGAGACCGCGGCGCTCGGGTTCCGCCGCCGAAAGGCGCTCCCGCTGGAGCGGAGCCTGGCGGCGCCGCACCCCACATACTGGTCTCGGGGTGTGCAGATGCTAACGGGGCCCCTGCTTCCACCCCGTGTCCCTCCCCTTCAAACTGGGAACTGGGTGACAGGCCACAGAAGCAGACTATCCGTTTTCCCCTTAATGATCTAGAGATTTTCTCCCCTGCCCTTGAGACCCCACCCCACTTCCTCCCTGTACTTCCCATTTCCGTTCCCCTCTGAACTTTGTCCTTGGGCAGACCCGGCCCTCTCGATCGCAAATGTGTGCGCTATTCTTGCAGGGTGCCCCATCATCTTCTGCCGTGTGCTGACCCAGGCTGGCTTTGCCAGGTGGGGGCTCTCCAAGAGCACAAATAAAGCGCTCTGAGTACTCCTGCTTCACAAGACTGTGACTCCTTTTTCAGGAGACACAAGGGAAACTGGTTCAGGCTGGGTCGTTTCCTGTGCTGCAGCAGTTCCTGAAGCAGTCTCTGCCAATCTGCTATTTCAAGCTAAAACAATTCTGTACAGCTCACTGCTATAAAGCTCCAGAATGCTTTCAGGCTTATAAATGGTGCAGACTACTGTAAGCACAAAGCCAGTTGACACTAGACAGTCAGCATTTTGTTCATGGGCTATAGAAAGCCTGCAACCTAAGTAAATATGGCTTCAGGCTCAGATACAGTTATCAAAGATTGTGATTGTGTAAAGTCTGTGGCATGATTATGAAGGACACACACACACACCTTAAGAGATGTGTAAATATTCGTTTTTGAAAACACAACGCCAGGACTTGGATGGCAGAAGCCCTGGCACATGCCCCGGTGCAAAAGGCAAGAGCCCTCTGACCGCAGGTGCTCATGGTGTGTCAGCCTGATGAAGTCCCATTCTCACACTGTAGATCTAGACCTGCAATCTAGACCATTGTTCCGATATCAAGACAAGGCATTTTTCAAGAGGAAGAAAGTGAAAGTGCTTTTCAGCCACCCACACTTCATTACTTGTAAACATCACACCTTGGTTTATAAGCATTTGTCTCACCTGTTTGCCTCTAGGAATTTAGAAAAAGGATTTGGTTCTTAAATGGATCCACTTATAGAGTACCTGCTCTAAGCCAGGCACCAAACTGTGGAGATGCAAATGAATCTTGACGTGTGTGGGAGTGGGCCCAGATCTCCCTGCCGCGAGTCCCTGCCACCCACAGCAACCCCAGAGGACTGGGCAGAACTGCCCCCGTGGGTTTCTGAGACTCTCGGATTACAGAAAAGGATGTTTTAATCTCTGTGGACTTAAAAGATTGGTTGTTTGGTTTTCCTTAATCTAATACTCAACTGTCAAGACCTTATTACAGCCAGCACTGCAGGAAACCCTCATTGGCTGGTATGTAGGGGCTCAACCTCTCCGGACCCTCGGGAAGACCCCTGCTCTGGAACCACTCCCCTCGGAGCCCGTTCACAGGGGCATTGCCAACACACCAGGGGTCTGAGCTTGGTCGCTGTAGGCATTCCCTCTTCCTCCGCTCACACTGGCCTGGGGTGGCCTCCTCAGCAAGCGAAGCGTCACATACATGTTACCAGAAAAGGCTCTTGGTAATTTTTTTTTTTCAATTTTGAAAACCAGTTCTTGGAACACCTGGAAACTCAGGTGAATTCTGATGTGGAAACATCACCAAGTGCCCGTGTCCTGGACCACCTGGGGGGAGGGGGCGGGCGACAGGTAGCATGGGTTCAAGGAAGAGGGTGGCGACACCATGCTCTAAAACGCTGGCAACAGCCTCATGCCCCCTCAGGAGCCCTAGGAACCACACACAGGGTGAGATGAGGCAGCTGGACACGGGCGCAGCTGGGGGAGGAGGCGGACGCAGGGAATGGGCCTGCAGCGTGGTGATCTGTGGGACCAGGGAAGTTTCAGCTTCGGCTTCAGCTTCTACTTCCTGCAGAGAAACGTGCTCCCATGCGTAGACCGTCCCCCGACCCAGGTGTCTGCAGCCTGTACAGTGGACTCCAGCGAGGGTGAAGGTCCTGGGCCTGCCACCAGCGGCGGGACGGGGGGTGCTGGGGAGAAAGTAAGTACTGAAGGGTGCCTCGGGGATACCAAGATTCTAGGGGCACTGCACTGTGCGGCAGAGGGGGCCTGACAGCCATGGCAGAGCCTGGGAGCAGGGCCGGCCGGCAAAGCACCTAGCCAGCCTGCCTTCTCTGACGGTGCCTGCCTACAGAGCCCTCAGAAGCCCACCGCCTGACAGAGGCGGGGCCTCACTCCAGCGCTGTAAGTGGGGGCTCAGAGAGCAGACACACAAATGATGTGCAGCTCACCCCTCAGTCCAGGTGAGGGGTGACCCACAGGCCAGCCTGACAGCTGCCTTCTGTCAAAGCTGCTTTAATTTGGAAAATGGTCAAGGAAGTAATTGAGAGGGCAGCCTGGCCCTCTGGCTAACCAGTCCCAAGCAGTCCACAGAGCAGCCACTGCCTGGGCATGGCAGGTCAGAGGGAACGCCAGTCACAGCAGAGAGGCCTGCGGAGGCTCTGCCCATCAGCCGAGAGCCCAAGGTCACGCTTGTAGACACGACTGAGTCCACACTGCCTCATCCCCGAGCCACTGCATCTCCCTGGTGACTGAGTCGGCGCTCTCCCCTCGGCCTTGTGGGTAGCCCAAGCAGAGCCACTCGAGGGCAGGTCTGTACTCTTCGGATGAAGGCCGAGCAGGAGGCCACTACGACGTGTGGCTACCCGGCAGCAGAGGGCCGCTGGGAGGGCTGGGGTCCCGGTCCACCTCCAAGCTCGTGCTGGCCAGGAGCCCACTCTCTGCAGAGAGAGAGAGACACTGCTCCAGGCACTGCCCCACCCTGTGTCTGGAAGATGCCACTGGAGCCAGCCAAAGGCCCTTCAGACCCCAGGGCAGGGTGCCGGGGCTAGGAGCATGGAGCTTCAGCGCCAGCTGGCTCCAATGCTGCTCAGTGCAGCAGGGAATAGTCCTGCTGAGGAAGGGGCCGCGGGCAGTCAGAGCCAGACCCTCACCCCTGCCCGCATGTGTCCTCCCAGCTGAAAACCCACTCAGAGCATCACGGCTGCAGGCCTCAGCCTACCGCCTGCCCCTCCTCCCCCTCAGCCCCCACCCCAGGAGAGTGGCCTGCCAAGCTCTGAAGCCCCCAGGGAGGGGTCAAGCACACCCCTACCAAGCTCTGGTCCTGGCATCTCACTGCAGGCACCCCCTCCTGCCCCTCCCCCTGGGGCCCCACTCCCAGCACGGCTCACCTGGCTTGCTCAGCCGACACACCTCCTCCCAGGTGTAGTTGGCCAGGTTCACGGGCTGAGTCACCCACGGGTCCTCTACTAGCGCCTCCAGGGTGGTGCGTTGCTTGGGCACGGGCTGCAGCAGCCCTGACACCAGGTGCATGAGCTCTGGGGACACATAGGGCACCTCACTGAGTACAGGAAAGGCCTGGGAGGCCCCAGCAGGAGCTCCTGGGTCTCCTCTGGGTCCCCTGGCTAACAGGTACCCAGAGGTCCCATCCCCAGGGGGCCCCAGCTGAGCTTTGGGAACCTGGGAGGAGATGCTGCCACCTCTGAAGGGAGGGTCATGGGCCAGACCAAGGGTCACACCATGCCACACCCATGACTCCTTGGCCATCCCCAGGTGGACTGGATAGGTGAGTGGGGAAGACCATGTATGTGGAGAGGTAGTACCAGCTCCTAGAAGTCAGGCGTGGTGCCCAGAGGTGGGGCCTGGCGCCAATCGGCCATGGTGCAGCCCAGGAGCCCTGTGAGCAGGCTGGCAGCAGAGGCAGCCCTGGAGTCCTGAGACTGAGCCCCGGCCCTACTTCAAAAGCAACAACACGGGCCTGGTGCACTGAGAGGTTGGTCCAGGCAGCAGGTCTCCAGCAGTCTGTCCACAGACAGCAGGACCAGCTGCCGAGTCTGCTGAGGAGCCCTGAGGCCAGGTGTGCCCTGCCACGCCCCCAGTTGTCCTCTGCCCACACTGAACCAGCATGCAGGCCACCAGATAGATGGGTTCCTGCTGGTGCCCTCGACACCCATGTCAATTTGGTGGGGGAACCCCAAGTGGCCAGGAGCCACCCTGCCCCTTACTTGACTGTGCCTTCTAACCCAGGTGCCTGCCACGCCCAGGCCTCTTGCTGAAGAAAAACTTGAGGTCACACCTGGGGGTAGGGAGGGCGGGGACATGAGGTCCCAGGGGAGGGCGGAGACGTGAGGTCACAAGTGAGATGAGGACATGAGGTCCCAGGTGAGGGTTGGAGACACACAGGTGCTCACCTGCAGACACCACAAACGGGGGGTTCAGCACGGCCTCCACCGTCTCCTCCAGCTCACAGAAGGGGTTTTCCTCAAAGATGAGAGTGTACAGTGTGACCCCCAGCGACCACATCTCCAGCTCTGGGCCCCGGTACCTGCACAGGGGGCACTGCTCAAGCCCAACCCCACTGCGCACCCCTCCCCGCGGCGCTGGGCCTGTAGCAAGCAGCTGCACCTCACAGGGCAAGAGGACATGGCCTGAGTGACCTGGAGGTCACTAGGGCGCCTTGATGCCCCCTCCTGCCCATGGTGCTGGTGCACATCACGGTGGTAGCACCAGCAGGGGCAGCGCTCCGGATCTGGCTGACTGTCGCCACGCAACGGCAGCCCCCACGAGCAGCTGAAGCCTAGGGCCCAGAAATGCTGTAGTGCCATCAGTGGAGGCCAGTCTGGCCCAGGCCCGGCCCGAGGGCGGCTGAGCCAGTGCCTCTATCTGAGCAGGGACTCCGCAGGGCTAAGCTGGAGCTGTGGTGGGGCACTGATTCCAGCTGGGTCTCCCGTAGCCGGACAGCGCTGTTTCATCAGGAAAGATGACCGCTCCTTCCCAGAAGGCCAGACTGACTAAAGAAACTGCTTCCTCTGTAGGAAGCGCCCCCAGTGGGGGTTGCCAGGGGATCGACAGTCCCTGGGGCTACGGCAGGGGCCGGGGCGGATGAGGAGCCAGTGGGGAGCATGAGGACGAAGGCATGTCTCGAGATGGAGTGTGGCGATAAGCACATCACTCTCTAACTGAACCATGAATTGTCCGCGATGTGAGTTACACGTCAATAACATGGTTAAAGCTAAACGGAAAGTTATCTGAAATTTAAAAAGAAACAAGTGATATATACTTTACCTTTGATCTTTCTGTAACTTTCTATTATGTCCAATTCTAAAATTACGTCACAGATGAGAAACTCAAAGAACAAACGCCTTTGTCCACTGCCAACTTCTGTGGCCTGTCCCCCTTGGCTACCTGCCCACTTGTTTCCTAAGGTCCTTCCCTGCTGTCACTACCACTCTCATCACAAACGGCCCCAGACAGGCAGCTCCATACGTACGGGTTCCCCAAGAGGACCTCGGGCGCGCAATACTCGATGGTGCCGCAGAAGGTGTAAAACACTTTGCCGCGCTCCAGGTAGGCAGCCGAGCCGAAGTCAATGAGCTTGATCGTGAAATCCTCGGCGATAACGATGTTCTCGTCCTTGATGTCCCGGTGCACGATGCCCTGGGAACGGAGGTAGCCCACCGCCGACACCAACTGCAACAGGCCACAGGCGGCAGCTCAGGGAAGCAGCTCTGCCGGGATAGGTGTCGGAGGGGACAACCGCAACAGCACAATCACCCTGGAGCGACCGCAGGAAAGAACCCCAGCTGTCGAAGGCAGGTGAGGCCCACAGGCAGGTGAAGGCCGAGGCAAGTGAGGCGAGGCGTGGAGTACCCACTCACAGGCAGGAAGTGAGTCATGACCCCTAGGCTCACTCTTGGATCACTACTGCCGGCACCTTCTCAGAGGCACACCCTCCTGCAGACACCCCCTTGTCCCAAGAGCAGCAGTGACGGTCTCAAGTGGGGCGCACCTTGGTGAGGGCTCTGAGTCCCGCTCCTCAGACCCCCACCCCAGCAAGCTAGACAGCCCCATGCCCAGACACTACCAAGTGATTGAGGGGTGGGGTTCTCAGCCACGTGGACACCCAGCCACGGAGAGGGTGGCTTCACCACAACACACCACTCCCCACCTGGACCCAGAGACGACCTTTTGCACACTGGACACTGAGGTCCACAGAGCCGGGCTTCCAGTGACGTCTCAGTGAGGCTGACCACCAGCCGCCCCAGCACCACACCGGTTCATGGGGGCGATGAGCCACGTGACCACCCCCAGACGCAGTTCTCTCTGTGCACCTGGCTGTCTCTGAAACACCGCCCCTGCATGTTCACACAGATGCCCTTACTGACAAGCATGAACACACACGTGTGCACAGATGTCCATTTAGGCATGTACACGGAAACTCCGCACAGTGGGTGGAGAACAGTGGGGAAGGGTGACGGGCTTTCCCCGCAAACCCCCCTGTACGCACCAATCACCAGTCTGAACAAAGAAAGCTGCCGCGAGCAGGGGTTCCCACAAAAGCCTAACTGCAGGGGACCAATGTACCCAGACCAGGAGAGCCCCTTCCTCAGGGACCCCTGGGGCCCAGCAACAATAACACTCCCCACCAATATGCTACTGAGAAGCGCCTGCAGTGTTCTGCCAGCAGCCTAACCCCCAGCCAGCCCACCACCCCCAGCACCGTGTGTACGTACACAACCGTGATGATGTGACCACACATATCCCCAATGCAGTTACTGAAATCCCCGTAAAGTGAGGCTACAGACTTTTACAGAACCTCGCGCACAGCACTGTAACCCTGCTGTCAGCAGCCTGAGGGGCCAGCCACCCCGGGGGAGCAGCAGCCTTTCACACACGTGTCTGTTCCGCTATCACCCAGGGAGCTGGGGCCTGAAGGAGGCAGGGCACGAAGACTAACAGCCTGCCACCTGCAAAGCACACAGGCTGGCTCGCTCGCCGGCCTCAAGGCCGGGGCAAGGGGAGCACATGTCGGTGAAGGTCAGGACTGTGAAGCTCATTGTAAAGAAGACCCACGCCCTCACAGCGGGGCCAGCACACTGCATCTTGAGAAGGATGGGCAATCGAGGTTGTCCAGGAGGTCAGTTTACGGCATCTACAGCCAACACCCCTGGAAGCAGAGCCAGGAATGGCAATGGACAGGCTGCCCTGGGCAGCTCTGCCCAAGAAGACAAAGCAAAGCCGTGACTCTGCAGACGAGGGGGCCTGGCCAACTGTCCATGGCCTCCTACACAGCGAAGGCTGGACAGTGGACGAGGAAGGCTGAAGATGAGCTTTCGTCACGGGAACCTAAAGTCCAGGGACTACTACGCGGACAGACACACCTCTGTTGAGGAGCGGCCGCACCAGTGCTCCATGAGGCGTGATGACAAGACTTCGTCTTGTGTGCCCTGCATATGCTATTAGGAGGGACCAGGCCCTGGGGAAGGCCATCATGCTCGGCGGAAGGCCAGCCAGAAAGAGCTGGATTTACACAGTGGCTACAACAACGGGCTCAAACCTAGGAGGCGCAGCGCCGGGCAGAGTTCAGTTCTGCGGCACACGGCGCCCCTAAGGGCACCTAACAATGACAAGCAACTTTCAGCAACAAGGACCGACCAACCTCCCAGCGTAGGAAGAGGGAAGGACGGCGGTGGCATTCTTTAGGCAGAACACATGCTTGAAACTCCCACGCAGGCATCCAAGAAGGCTACCTTCGGAAAGACTGGCTTCTGGGAGCCCAGGAGCCCTGGGGGCAGAGGGGTTACTTAAGGTCAGCAGTTCAAAACCACCTGCCACGACTCTGGAGGAAAACAGGCTTTCTCCTCCGGTACAGAATTCCGTCTGCAGCAACTTGAAAGCAGCACTTCTACCCTGGCCCACTCCGCGGCGGTGACCCAGCTCGGCAGAGGAAGCGGCCGTGTGAGGAGGCTCACCCACCTCCAGCAACACTCGAAGAGCTCCCACGGCCCTCCACCCCTCGAGGGAGCGAGAAACTGTCTCAGAGGGAGCCACTACCTTCTTCTCACGGTTCTAAAAGACAAAGACCTAAATCCCTGTCTACCTGCCTATCTGTCTCTCCTCCTGTGCTGCTGACCACAGCCCATCCCAATAGACCCCACGCAGACCAAGGCCAACACAGAGACGGGCTGGGATGGGCCCGAGGCAGACAGTGACAGCCCAGACTGTGATCTGTGCTGCTTCCTCTGGCCACCAAGAAAGCCACTGCTCCCGAGCACATCTGACACACGACGGGGCAGAGCTGGGTCCGCACCTCATCTGTGGCCCTGCCACTCGAGTGAGCACCGACGTCCCTACACCCACAGCCCCGTCACGTTAAGTCCTGACTGTCCTGACCCAACAGATTAGGAAGCAGATGCTTCAGGACAGCCAGACCCCCGATGGGTGTGGGGACGGTTCTGATGGGTCAGCTCGTGGTGGGGACTGTGGGAGCGCTTAATCATTCCGCCTCCCTGACCACCCCAGGATGGCATCTGACCCCATCCTTCCCCCCAGACACACGCACAGCGCTCTTCTCCACGCCTGAATCTTATTCCCGGAACGCCTACAGGCTCAGGACAGCTTGGAGAAGGGTGGCTCCTCCACCGCCAGCCCACGTGCTCCCAGCGACTGCAGCCATCCCATACCTGCCGGAAGATGTAGCTCGCCAGGGGCTCGTCCAGGTTGGGGTGGCGGTCAATGAAGGCGAAGAGGTCCAGCCCGGAGCCGTGCTTCTCCATCACCAGCTGGAAGAAGCCTTGGTTCTCGAACACGTCCAGCACCTGTGGAGAGCAGGAGCGGTAAGCTCAGCGGAGGCAGCGCTCTGTGCTGGGCATCTGAGAGCACGGCACCACGTCCACCTTGATGATGTTGGCGTGCTCCACCCTGAAGAGGATGGCAATCTCCAGGGTCACTCTGCCCAGCTTGGGGTCCTCCACCCAGCAGTCCTCCAGCACCTTCTCCTTCCGGATAAACTTCACCACCACCTGCAAGGAGATCAGAGGCCAACAACAGCCAGACCCGCTGCTCAGTCTCAGGGGCAGCAGGGCCTCCAGTTCACCCCAGGTCCCAGGGCTGGCGCAGAGACAGCCACGCACACGTGCATGCGTGCACACACACACACACATCCCTGCAGAACCAGAAATAGTTAGAAGTGGTCACATGCGCACCCATACACACGTCCTTGTGGTACTAGGGGAGGCCACACATACACACATCCTGCATCCAACCCGCAGGACTGGGAAGAACGGACAGGAGCCCCCACCCCTACACAGACAGTGAGAAAGGCACCCTGAGTGTGAAAGTGCATCACAAACAGAAACCGTACTTAAACCTATCAGTGAGTGAAATGAATGTGAACCAGTCAAACAAACAACACGCTCGGGAACCTTGGAGATAAGGACGTGGACAAAGATGTAAACGCTACCAAAGGACGGTACGGTTCAGGGAGCTCCTTTATATGGGCCTTCTAGCCATGGTCTTCCTGACACTCACATGGCGATTAAGTGGAACTATGCAAATATTGTGCTTGTGGCCCACCAATGAGACCCGGCAGCTCGCGCTAATGCAAACAACGAGGGAGCAGAGCTGGTCCCATGTACTGTGGGACCCTAGCGAAGGACGTCTTTGACAGGATGGACTGACAGAAGCTGGGTCAGTGGGCTCACAAGGAGGAAGCATCGGGCATCAGGCATGATTAGAGTGGGACTGCCCTTGATTCACCCCTTACTGCGAGTGTGACCCTCATTCAAGTCGCAACCTGTGCTGCCGCACTCGGGCAGGGGCTTCCCTGCAGCCGTGCTCTGCATGGGAGGTGTGCACTGACATTCCTCGGTGTGTGCACAAATGCTCAGCCAAAGTTCCCTCTCTGGCTCCTCGTGTAACCTCTGCTCTTGAGCCAGCAGCCTGTCATCTGGCCTGCCAACCTGCACCTTGTGAGCCTGGAAAAGCTCCTAGTCTTATGCTGACCCACAGATTTGGGGCTTTCTAACCTGTGTGAGCCGTTTTCTTAATGGTTCACGATCATCTGAAAATTTCAGACTGCAAACTCAGAAAGGATTAAGAAGAATTAAAATTCCATATAAGGCACCTGCACAGGATTGAAAGGGGATTTAATGAGATCATCTATCTCATGGCCGCAAGCCTGAAAGCAATGGACAGCAGAGCACTGGAGAGCAGGGACGCAGGGACAGCGTGCAGAACACGTACACCTGCCTCTCCAGAACCAACAGAAGGGACAGCCAGAAGGAAAGAAGAAAGATTTGCATAAGACCGTTAATTAGTTTCCATCTAAAAATTATACAAATCATCTTTCCATACTAGTGAGACTTGCTAACATTTAACCATATCATATTTAACAATGTTTTAAGAAGTAGCAAATCAAAAAGTCACATACTACACAAAACTTGAAAATCCATAAATTTAGACCTGACTTATACAACACAGAAGCTGACGAGAGATGGACTGCGGTGCTGGGTGTGGGAGGTCACACAGCAAAGGCTTTGAGGAAAACACAGGTGAGCTTCTATGTGCGCCTGCATGGGCGGGGACAATACACAGAACGGCCGATCGTCAGGGCGACTTGATAAGTTCTTTTCGTCAGATGATATTAAAGGAATTAAAAGGTAACCCACAAAACCAGATTTTGCATTATATGTACCCAGCGCATTCAGTGCACATAAAGACTATAAAACCAATATAAGAAAAGAATGCAACAGATAAATAACCAGGAGATGCAAAGTTGCTTTGCAAAGATGGCTAATAAGCATGGGAAAATGCTTGATATTAATACTGCAAAAACATGGGAATACTAAGGGGTTGCAGACTACACCCTCAAAACATTTATCCAACCAAGAATTTCCACCCACGATATTTGCAAAGAACTCCAATGCAGGCTATGTATAGCCTCACAAATCAATGAGGAAATAAATATGACAATCAGTAGCAATAAAGGAGGCAAAAGACTTGAATGGGCTTATTACCCAAATGCACCATAAACGGGAGCAAGGTCCCATCAAGACCCAGTAGAAGACTGGGGTTCAAGCACCAGGCTACGCCACTATAAGGGGAAGGACCCTTGTACAGACCCACCAGGGGAGACTTGAGGCGCCACCAGAGACCCAGCAACGGGGAGAGGGGCACCAGACAGGAAGGTGCGCACCAGATTGACCCCCATGCCCTCAGTATACACAGCATGAGTTACAATGGCAAGGTGGCCATCCCAGGGACACTGGAAGGCTGCCAAGAGTGCCTGCTGACCCACTTGCTCCATGGGTCTGGCAGGGCTTTCCGTTCAGTGGGTGGAGCAGTCACAGTTGTGAGGGAGATCCAGGGGCCTTGGAAGGATCATGGGGTCTGAGCTGTGTACCGATTAGGGTGAGTACACAGGGCAGGACTGTCCCTCCCAGGTTTGCCGCAAGGCGTTGTGTGGCCCCACACAAGCTCCTAGAGCAACCATACGATCAGCCAGGTATGAGCCCCTATGTTGGGAGGCCCTCCTGTCCGAGCCTTGGTCAGGGCAAGCTTCCCTCCCATGCCAGTACCTCTCGGTTTTCCTCCTTATGCAGGGCGGTCCACACAAAACCAAAGGCCCCGCTGCCGAGCGGGCGCAGTGTGCTGTACTTATTGGAGTATGTGCCCTCGCAGGCTGCCAGTCCCTCCAGCTCGGCCACCACAGGAGACTCCTCAAACCAGGGCTTGGTTCTAATCACCTGTGAAGGCAGACAGTCTGAGCCCAGTGGTCATGTGCCAGAAGGGCGCTGGTGCACATGGGCACACCCCGTCCCTGCAGGCAGTCGATGCACAATGCCCCACACGCCCACCTCCACCCCCCACCTGCCTGCCCTGTGTTCTGGAGCGTCGCCCAGCCCTCCCACCGCCACGGCACACACAGACAACAGTGGGGAAAGCCTCTTGGAGAGCATGGCTGCCCAGAGCAAACAGAAAGGGATGTGCTCCCTGAGAGGTGGTGGCTGCCCATACCCACCTCGCCCAGGCTGGGCCCGGTCAGCTCAGCCATGGAGTGGGTAGAGCTGGGCAGGCTGGCCAGCAGCAGGCGGGAGCGAGCCGCTGCATCCCAGGGGCTGTGCAGCAGGCCCTTCACCAGCCAGCAGCAGAAGAGCGTGGCTGCCCCACGGAGCTCCACGCGCCGCACCTCAAACCGCACGCCTGAGAGCAAGACAAGCCATCTCGCTGAAGCAGGTGCCCGCACCACGTGTGCCCGCTCAGGCAGGTGAGAACAGAAGCCGGCCCTGGGCCGCCAAGGGGCAAGAGCAAGAGAAACAGCCCCTTGCCCGCCCAGCACAGAGGCCAGCAGCCCAGGCCTACAGACACCTCTGCCTTGCCTCTCTCCTCCACTCAGGAGCCCGGTGCAGACCACCCTGGGTGGAAAAGCCTAGCCCGCCCCCACCCACTCCCATCGCACAGAGCACCTCTGTGACCAGCTTAACAAAAGCCACATGTACACATAGGCACACGCACACACACGTGTACGTCCCCAAGTCACACGTGCCTGTGGAGGTGCCATGTGAAATCGGTAGCCACGTGCACTCAAGTACAAAGGCCCGGCACTGTCAATGCAGAAGCACACGCCATCCTGTGGGGGAAGGGACCATGGAGGACGTCCCTCTCACCCACACTTGTACGGAAGACGTCTCCACAAACAACACGTGCTGGGTGCCTGGGGTCAGAGTTCCAAGAAACAGGCCGGTTGAGGACCACAAAGCCAGCACCGTGGTGCCACGGTGCCACTGAGCTAGGGAACATGGAGGGGCTAAGACACTGGGCAGACAGCATGCCCTGACCCACCTGACCCTGGATCTGAAAATCCCCGAGTGCAGCAGAGGCCAGCCTCCCCTGGGCCTCACCGGAGTGTGTTGCCAGGCCCCTACAGCCCTCCTCCCAGCAGCGACAACCAGGGAAGGCACAGGCAGGCGGCCTGCAGCACGGGTATCTCAGCTGTCCTCCCACGTACAGGCCCACCCGCAGGACACTAAGAGTCAAGAGGTGGCTGAGGACGGACAGACGGGCAGCAAGCGCGTCCTGGGGAACGTACTCAGTCTCGAGCCGTCCCGGTGGTAGCAGCTGCCCACGTAGGTGCCCTCCTGGATCTCTTGGAAGGAGCCAGTGGTTCCTGGGGGCGGTGCATGCTCCCCTCGCAGTGGGGTGGAGGCCGCCTGGAGGCCGAGCCCCAGCTGGTCTGTGTGCGGCAGCGTGTCCCCAGGGGTGGGGTCTGGGGGTAGGGTGGGCAGCAGCTGGGCATCGGAGGGGCGGCTACGAGCCTTGGAGAGGCTGAAACTGGAGGCAGTGCCGGTGAGCAGCAGCAGCCCCTCCCGGTCCAGCAGCTGGGCGTCTGCTGGCTGGCCCTGAGGGCTGTCCTTGTCCAGGTCGGAGCCCAGGCTCAAGGATGAGGAGGGCGCATGGGGAAGACCCGAGGTCACACAGCAGCAGCTGGAAGACGCACAGGCCACTCGCTCGCTGAGGAAGAGCTCTTGGAAGTCCCAGGTGAGGGCGGCTGTGCCGGCTTCAGGCTGGGCCTCGGGCTGGGGGTCGCCGGGGAGGTCCACGGCCCTGGCATAGTAGGCCGTGGAGCTGCCTGAGCGGCCACTGAGCAAGTCTCTGGCCCCAAGGTTACAGAACGACGGGGGGGCAGCTGTGGCAGGGTACCCAGCAGCAGGGGTGCTCCCAGGCCCCACACAGCTCTGCGTAGACAACTGCTCCTTGACCAGGCAGGTCTGCAGCTCCTCTCGGTCACTGCCCACACCCGGCCACAGCCCCCCCAGCATCAGCATCCCCAGTGGCAGGAGCCCGGAGTCCTTGGGGCTAAGGCGGCCCCTCCTGGCGAGGAGCTCCATCCCGCAGTGTGGGCAGTGCGTCAGGAGAGCAGCTCCCGCTGGCCGGCCCACGAAGTAGGGCTGGGGCACAGCAGCCTCAGCCCTGGGACCCCGCCCTGTGGGGCCCTCTGGGTCCAGCTCACTCTCCAGGGCCCTCCTCTGCCCATCCTGCACTCCAGTGGGGGGTCCGGGCTCCTCCTGGGCAGGATGTGGGCTGTTGTCCGAGTCCTCAGGACTGTCTGACCGAGGGCCCTGTGGGAGGCTGCCCTCCTCCAGTCTCTGCTGCTGGTCCTGGGCCAGCAGGTGGCTTCCCGCACCGTCTGCCCTGGGGACAGGACGCGGTCAGTTACTCAGGGGCTCAGAGAGCAGATGAGGCGGTCACACCGGTCCCCTCGGAGAGACAAGCGATAAAGACACGACCTGTGACAAGCCCTCAGCTCTGTGCGCTCAGCACCCAGGCAGGGCCTGAGCTTGTCCCCACGCCTCCCAGGCCCGAGCCCTGGGAAAGGGCGTGTAGCAGAGTGGCCCGAGAGTGCCCACGGCCCTCGCTCACGCTCACAGGGACTGCACTCGCTTGGACAAGATGGAGATGCGTGGAGATGCTGAGGAGGCGCTGGCGACAGCACATGCTCTGTGCCTCACGTGGGGACATGGTGTCTCTCACGTGACTGCATGCTCCAAAGAAACCCACACACTCAGGGTCTCCCAAGTGCCGACGCACAGTCACCCCCAGGACAGAGCAGAACTGCCCGTGGGTGTCTGAGGCTGCCCGTCTTTTGGGGGGCAGACGCCCACTGTTTGCTGAGGGCAGCTGATGGGTCCAACTGCTACCTTCGGTGGGGACGAGCACCCCGCATGTGGCTCTCATCATGCCAGAACCTGTCTGTCTCCCAGCAGGCACTGGGCCGTCTTGTGCGCAGGGGTACGCCTCGGGGAAGCTGTGGCCTCAGACCCCCACCCTGCTGTCCCCAGTGCCCACCCATCCCCTGCCTCTGCGGCAGACACACTCACGCCAGGGTAGGTGGGCCGGGTGCCTGGGACAGCGTCTCGTCCTGCAGCCTGGTGCTATGGAGCGGGGCACTCGTGTTGGGACCTGACCACGAAAGGGGCACATCCTGTTCAGACCCCATTCCTGAGACGGCCTGACTGCCCCGTCCTGCCCCCCATGGACCACCCTCAGCCCATGGGCAGCCACTCAGAGCACCCCTGGCAGCCCCGGCCAGTGCAGCCCCTGAGGAGCAGTCATGAGCCTCACCCTCGACCCCGCCGGACAGGTCCCAGTCCTGCCAGGACTCTGGTGCCACCTGCCCAGACCTGCCGTCCAGCCCCGGGGCCGGGCCGGGCTCAGGCCGGGCGCTGTCCTCAGCGAGGTCCATGTAGCTGTAGAAGCCAGGGATCAGGAACGTGATGCTCTAGACATGTGGACACAGAGTGAAGACCCCAAAGTCACCGCCTGGCGCCCTGTGGACCTTTCCCTTTGACCCTCGACAGAGACGGTCTACCCAGGAGGACCCCCAGCCGTGCCCCACACGGGGCGCCACTTCCCCTGTGAAAAGATGCCATAGGGCCTGCCCCACCTGCCAGAGGTGCCCTCTGACCCAGTTCAAGGGCTCCCCCTAAGCCGACTGTCTGTCAAGCCCCCTGAATCAGAGGCTGGGCAGAGCACCCCAACCTGACAGACAGACCACAGCACTGCCAGCAACACCCTCTGCAGCCTCAGTGGGGCTGGGCGACCAGTGAGGGCTGCCTTGGCCCCAGGACAAGGGTCAGGGCAGGAGCCACGCACAGTCACGGCCACAACCAAGGCGCTTTGACCCCAATCAAGGTCAGGCTTGAGGGTCCCAACATCCCCCAGGCAGCTGCGCCTGTGACTGGGCAGCAGACGGCAGGCTGAGGCTCTCTGGACAAGGGAGGAGCAGGAGCCTGGAAGGACAGAGCCATCAGTCCCTCAGGCCACATGCACACTGGCAGTCTGCCTGCGTGTGAGGCAGTCACACGATGGAGGCCCAGGGGCAGCGGCTGACCAGCAGGCCCAAGGCAGAGCCCCCACCCAATAAGGTGAGTCAGTCTGGCTCACCATCAGCTGGGGGGCCCAGGATGTCCCCCTTATGGGGAGATCGCTCAGGGATGGAATCAGTCGTGACTGCCAAGTGAGGGGGTGGTAGGGAAGACGGAGAAGGGAGAGGGGAGAGGAAAGAAGGGGG